AATTTTTTTTTCAGTCAGTCTAGTGACTCTGGAACAGCTCATGTAAGGGGCATCTTAACCTTGATAACCAAAAGGGTTCCTCTTCCTTGTATTTAGTAAATGCCTGAACTTTCAAAAATAACCAATGTACACTTCTTTTCTTTCTTGAATGTAAATGAATACAGAGAGGTGGTGGACTGGTAAATCTGGGGACTGGAGACCTTTGGCACCATACGGACAGTCTGCAGTCTCCACATTGACCCCTCTAGTGTCCTCCTATGGGGCTTTAGGTCAGGATGGCTCAGGCTTCAGGACCATTCAGGTCTTAGCCTCCTTGTTAAAACTACCTCCAGTGGTGTAGGCCTTGATGTTTTAATGTTGTGCCTAATGAGAATACTTGTTGTCATCAGACTCAGTTAATTTGACACAGGCCAGTGAACCACTGTCAATAACTACCAGGTGTAACAAGGATCTGGTGGAGGCAGGATTTGAGTCATGGAACTGTTCTGTGCTAGGTCACAATTTCATTAGCATAGGGTTCACTATTTAGGTATTTAATCAAAATCTGGTCATTTCTATCACTTGTACTCTTTTTATGAAGACATTTGAAATCACTTGCCATAACAGCAAACCATACGGACATGGACATAAAATATTACATAGGTCTTTAAAATCTCATTACTTTCATCTGAATCTACAAGATAAACCTACAGAAGCATTTAAGAAAAAGGCCATTGTGACAGATTGCAGATTTGATTGCAGTGAGTTCTAATCTTTCATCGCTGAATTGATTATTAAACTGCTACAAAATTGTCACGGTAGGTGACAATATTGATCAGTTTGAAGGAAGTCTTAATAATAGAGTCAACACAAGGCAGGTATTGGCAGAAAAAATTAGCACCATCTGGAATACTCTGCTTCTCTGTCAGTCGATAAGTTGTATCAAGAGAGCTGAACATCACAGCTGTTGCTGTTGGTATTTCTAATACAGCAGTTTTGCTGGCTATTTTAAAGCTGAGAGTGAAATTTTATCACTCTGGCCAAGAGTCCAAAATACTCTTAAATTTGTTTGATAAATGTGTGTAGATCTTCTTCCTTTAAGAAGTAGGGTAAGCCATGCCCAGGAAGGAAATGTTTTTTTGTCAGGTTGGGGGGGGCCTCTGATTCCTTCTGGAATCATATATTTTATTTTCATCTAAACAGCTCCTGTAGCACTTCTTAAATGATATATATCCTGTAGTCACCTCCACGATGGAGGACGGGTGACCATTTAAGGTGTGAATATGCCAGGAAATTTTATTGTAGTTTTATCATGAGTTTTAATCATTCATTTAGCTGATGCAGTGATGAGCATGACTTATCCTTGTCTTCACTGACCATAGGAAGTATTGGGAAGGGGAACACTGAAGATGAGCAGCATAGAAATTTGAGAAAGATTCATTTTTGGGTGGAAGAGTCAAACTCCAAAGAATCAATCCTTGACTCAAAAGGAAGAACAGGATCCTGAGAGAAGGTGGAGGATGGACTTGAGAGTGTGGATGCCAGTAGTAGAAAGAGTACCTGGAAGGGAGCATCAGGAGCAGATGACAAGGGGACTTGTGGCAAATGTCAGGTGACCTGTGGGATGAAAATAGGTGCACCAGAGATGCAAAGCAGGGAGAGGGGGTGTCAAGAATAGTGGGTGAAAGTCATGGTCTTTGCTGTTAAGGAGGAGAAGAGAAAAGCTGGGAAGGGAAGGTCACAGGAGAAGGAAGAGGAAACTTTTGGGTGAGCATAATATAAAGCCTGTGGTAAGCAGAGACTTCAGAGGGAGGCAAGGGTTGGAGAAAGAGGTAGTAGAAGATTGGGAGTATGAGGATACAGGACTTTGAGATGGGAGGAAAAACCAAATTAATGGCAGTGCAGAGATGACATTTGGGATAAAGGGAACAAATAGGCTGGGAGGAACAGAAAAAGACTGGGGATTAGGGGAAGGTAGAGAACAATATTGAGTTGGGACAGATGGGGAGGGTGTAAAAAGAGACTGTTCTGCTCTGGGCTTTCTCTGTGACCAAAGTCAAATCACCAGTCTCTGCTTTTGTAAAGGGATTTAGGTGCTCAGTGGTAGTTGGAGACTTTTAAGTCCCTTCAGGATCAGGGCCCAAGTACCTCAGTTGTCCAGATGTGAAACGGAGATAATTGCATAGTCCTCTTCTCAATGCTATCTTCAACTAGGGGTGCACCTATACATCAGCTGGGTATCGGATCAGCACCAATAAAAGGAGAAATGACGTTATCAGCTATTGGCTTTTTTTTGGTCACTGTAGCCAATAATTACAACCGTGTACCCGGAGCACCCTGGTGGGTGTAGTCGGGTCCCTGCGCCTCGCCGCTGGCCCGAGCCCACAGCAGACTGCAGGTGCTGGTGAGCAGCGAGGAGGGGTCACAGGGTGCCAAGCTCGGCAACAAAGGGACTGTTACTGGCTCCTTCTGCTGCTGCCACTGCAATGCTACATGTACAGCAGGGGCCTAAGCACCGGAGCTGGCCTGGAGATGTTGGACTGCACACAGGTGGGGTAAGGTACTACACAAGGAACATTTGGCTCTGCTGGGCTTTGGAAAGACGGCTCCTCTCTGGCAGCCTCGGGAGCTCAGTTGCGTGGGGCCTGCCAGTGCTGAGGCCCCAGCATGCTCCGGGGCTCCAAACGCACCGGAAACCGCTGTCCACACAAGGGTTCACCCTGCCCACTTGGGATGGGTTCCCGGGGAGCGGAACTGCAGGTAGGAGCCGTGCACAAGGGGACAATGTGCATGGGTATAAGGCAGTCACCACCTTCCTCATTGAGGACCAGAGCAAGCAGGAGGCGTGTGTATGTGTTTGAAAATGCAAAACAAACAAAAAAGGTTTATTTATGTCAGTGGTTTAAAATGCCTTACACTATTACTGATTATCGGTTATCAAATCAGCATCAGCCAATGTGGTTGGTTAATCATCGGCTATCAGTATTGCCCAAGAAAATCTTTATTGGTACACCCCTATCTTCAACCCTTTCCATACCAGGGGCAGAACCAAGCCCATTACAACGGAGTTGACGGTAATAGCTCTCAGCATGAGCCAGCCCGCAGGGGGATGGATCCTGGCATGTTCCAGTTAAGCGATGGCCCACAGCAAGGCAGAAAGCCCGTCTCAGGAATGTAGGAAACCAGACATTTGTAGGCCAGGGCTAAAGCTCTGAGTGGAGCTACAGGAGGGCCAGTTCCTTATTCAGTGCTTTGATAGCATGTGTTTCATACAACAGGCTTTGAGCGAAAGGGCTGGCTCATTTGTGGCTTGTTGTAAGTGCAGTTGTACAGGGAAGTACTGTTTGCATCAAGCTACTATATTAAATTAATGTTCAGGGACAACTTGGGGAAATAGCTGAATGAGAGTTCCCATGTTTTTGTTGCCCCCTGGAGCAAAAATAAATAAGATGAGTAAATGTAAATGAAAGGGGGAGAAACCTGAATGCTAAGTAGCCAAGAAAATCCCATCCCAGAGAGCGTGACTCCAGTGAGAAGAGACTGTTGGCCCAACACAAGGAAACACTAACACAATGAGCTAGAGAAAGCTGATAAGGTACCCCTTCATTATTAATGGGCAGAGAGGCTTCTCGGCCATTGTCATCCTTGTTCTAATCGTGTCGCACCATGGTAGTTTATTCTTAGTCTTAGCCACATCCTTATAAATAATGAAATGGGTCATGTTTTATCTTACCCCAATGATCACTGTAATGTGGCTTTTATCTGAGTCCCTGCCAGGCTGTTGACACAGGGAACATTGAGAAGCAGATAAAATGAATGAATAGCACAATATAAAAATAGTCTCAGCCCTTCCAAAAGAACATGCTTATTGACAGGGAGCTAATAGCTGTCTTATTTGAAGCCATAATATGCAGGCTTGGTGGTGGGTTGACTTCCTTCACTGTGCGTTTAGCTATTGGAGGGGAGGAAGTTGCAAAGAGACTGGAGACCTGTGGATGTAGAGTATCTGGCTGATCAGGGGTGGATTGGATGGCTGGTTTAATTCAGGAATGTACATCGCCCACAGAAGGCACAGCAGGGCAGCAGACATTGTGGAAATAAGAAGGTTTGGCCTGTAATTTGGGGGAGGAGGTAGCTGTGTGTAAGGATAACAGAGGAATAAAGCACTTGGGTATTACTGTAATGGGTCCAGAGAGAGAGTGCAGATCGAATACAAGGAATACCCAGCACATCTCATCGGAAGAACTCAAGTGATCATCCAGGCAATTTAATTAAGCCTCTCAGCAGCCCTTGGAGAGACATTATCACAATCCCTCCCTTTAAAGACAGGGAAACTGAGGTACAGGAAATTCACACATTGCCCAAAGCCACAAAGCGAGTTAGTGGCAGAGCTAGAAATAGTATCCAGGAGTTGAGCCCCCTAATTTAACCACACTTCCTTCCTCAAACCACACTTCCTGGAAGGAGAAAACTACTGTACTGGAGGCATCTGTGCATAGAACGGTCTCTGGAAACTGGGGAAACAAGTCAGGTTACTATAACATCTTGTTTTCCAGAAAGCTAAAGCAAGTGGTACATCTCCCTTCCCAAGGAGCTGACTGCCACCAGTCGTGTTCTCCATTTTTATGTTGCTAGACATCAATAGGCCTGTACTGCAGGGGCAGGAGTGCTGTTGTGGGGCTGCTGTCTGATGCAGCTTTTGCTTTCCGAACTTTTCTTCTTGATATGGATCCATCTATTCAGCATTAGTTAGTAGCTCATCTAGCATGTAATTCCACGTATGGGAACAAGCAGACCCACGAGCGCTACCAACAGCAAAAGGCTAAATATAGAAAGTAGCAGCAAAGCAAAAGGTTAAAAGAGAAAACTGTGGTGGTCACTTTATCCCCTTTGTTGACCGTATTTTCCTTTCTGGCCTGATGATTCTGTCCCCCCTGTTCTGGGTATGCCCAGACTGCATCTGTTATACAGACGATGGATTTGCACCCCCTCCCTCAACGGCCATTTTTTTCTTGTTGCAGAAATTCCCAGAGTTGAAGTTTAAGTATGTGGAAGAGGAGCAGCCTGAGGAGTTTTTCATTCCCTATGTCTGGTCCCTGGTATACAATTCTGCCGTGGCGCTGTACTGGAACCCCCATGACATCCAGCTCTTTACTATGGACTCTGGCTGAGGCGCAAGTGGCCAGATGACAGAGCTAGCTCTTCTCTGTCTCACCTCGAGAGCAAACCCGAACACTGCGTGTTAATACATGATCCCTCCTGGCGTGCGTCCTCTAAACCTGAACCTTACCGAGAATGAAGAGCTTGCCACTCCTGTCCTGTCCAGCTTTGACGTCTTGCTACCAGGCTGCAGCAGGCATGCTGGAAGCAGCTGCAGCGTGAGGAACTGACAGGGTTGTATGCAACCTTTTAGACCTTATCCTATGAACACAAGGCCTTAGACATGCAGTGCGATGCTACCAACACCACCAAAGCAGAGCGCTCTATACAGTACAGTGGGTAAATAAGAGTTGGCATTTGATTTGGAACCAGTGTTTTTATTTCCTGTAGGTAGCAGGGCAAGCTCTTCAAACACCATTGGCTTCTGCAGTGAAGTATTCATCAAGTTGCTACCCTACCTCCTCGCATGGCCCTTTACTTTGGTGACATTGTAATGACGGCAGTCTCTGCAGCATTGTCTCAATTGTCATCCAAGTGAATTAGCAGGCTGGATATTAACCACAGTTTGTTTCCAGACAGAGAGGCAAAACCTTTGATTCGGATATCACAGTATGTGTGGGAGGGTTTCAGTGATAAGGAATTGTCAAAACAGTTTGGACTTGTTTGTGTTCTTGATAGGGCTAGAAACGCTAGCTTCCAAAGGAAAGTCCCTCCAGTCTTGCATGTGGCAAGCACTGTCTCTGGAAACCAACCAGACAGACAGATCTCCAAAGCAAATGCCTTCACATTTTCAAAGTCGACCTCTGTCCTGTAAAAGGTCTGGGCACTGTTGATGGTGTCTGAGAATCCCCAGTAAAGTGCTGGGTTAAAAATCCCCTTGTCGCAGTCCAAGGGTTTCTAGTGGAGGGACGGATTTATCTGAATGTGGACTGCTTCAAAATGAATGTTTTAACGTCCTTCTCTTGTACCCAGTTGAATGAAAATAATCAAAAATCTCTCTCTGCAGAGGAGAAAGTAAATGAATAATTTTGCCTTCCTGTTCAAGAATATCTCCTTTTTGTCATATGAAGGGTGTGTTTGTCTTGGGGGCAAGCTCCTGATGGCATTCATTTCCACATGCACCCAGACACACTGGCTGTGCCCTGTTGCTGCCTTGTGGAAAATGCTCTCACTAGGTCAAGTCCATTGCATGCCAAGAGATGAAGACTAGGGAGTTAGTCCTTACGTGTATATGCTAAATCCCTTAATGCACTGCCTGCCCTGGTATGTTCTGTTTACTGACTTGAAGGGTAGAGCACATCTGCTTTCAGGCAGTCCTCAGAGTGGCTTTAAATAGAGCTCCTTGCAGTTTTTGGTTTCTTGAAGATGCTAGAATTACACTTTCCTTTTTACCTGCTTATTTGGAAGCAGGAGTCCTCCTGGGCCCTGCATAAATGGAACTGCTGGCTTGTTATTTTTAAATTCTTTCCATATTTATTTAAACCTATAAATACAAAGAGGCGTGCATAGCATAGGAGTTCTTAGTACCTTCAAGTAGCGGTAGCTTTTGGGAAGAGGCAATATGAAGAGTGGAGCTGCAGCGGGGTGTTCAGTGTATAATATGGGGACGGTTGCACCATGGCTGAAGAGCTGGGAATGTTGATGCTACATGTTGGAGGAGGAGGGGGAGAGCAAACAAACAGAAGTTTCATAATACAATATCATATTGACACCAGCATGGGTCATCATCATGGTTGGAATCTCTGTATCTGCTACATTGACTTTGTCACCAGAGCTGCTAGTCATGATACGTTGTCATCCTCCA